CGGTCAGCTAAAGGTCGATCAGTGTTTACCGCCTCGCTAACACTTTGTAGGTCACCTGAAGGTCGTTCCTTCAAATTTTCGGCCAGGGGGGCCCCCTTGTTGAGGTAGTTGACCCCTGGATTAGTTTTTGTTAGTGTATCTGTTGGAGTACTCACTGTGATTGTTTCAAACTGGGTTTTCAGTTTAGTTTTGGGGGTTTTTGGCGATTTGAAGGATGTTGACGCTATTTTCTTTAGTGCATCTGCTGCGAATCTTGATTTTAACCTTTTCGAGTATGTTGTTTCAAAACCCGTAGGTGTTTTCGGTGCCCTTCCGGGCTCGGTCATAGACCTTTTCCCTTAATCTGGGATTACTTACACTGGCGAGAAATTACTATAATAAAAGAAAATATTTTATTTGACAGCTGTCACTCTAATAAACAAGAAATAGACCGTATAAACTAGTCAAACGCTCCCTAGTACAGTTCTAGGTAAACTGATCCAGGCAAGCCTCGATTCCAACACAGGCCGATGACGTCACCGTGCAGTCTTCCGTCCGACCGCTATTCGAGACTAGTGGTCGAATTGATTTGGCTTATTTAGTATTTTGTTTGTGATTATAAGGATTGTCGCACGGTTGTGTCAGGTTTACGTATTTCGTTTGTACATTTGTAAATTTTGGTGCAAACATCCATGAACCCTGTTTGCCCCATCCCCCTCATGCATGCTGTAAATGTCTTCCTTCAACGTAGTGGGAAGACAATTCCGATAGAAGCTTTCGGAGATTCTTAAAATGAATTCTTTGATGGGTTCAATGGATGCTTGTGTATGTAAGTCGCGTATTGTGACATAGCGATCGCACCCCAGCGCTAGCCGAAGACACTTGTTTTGGGTTCTTTGCATTTCTGCAAAATGCGTATTTGCCATTGAGCAGAAGACTGGACTTCCATACGTTAATATAGGTCTTAGCACTTGTTTGTATATTAGAAGTTTGTTATTTACTGTAAGTCCGCTTCTCCTATTTAATAGGGGATACAATGTCCTTATTGCCCCTAATGTTTTGCATGACCTTTCGTGTATGTGCTGCCTGAACGTTAGGCCCCTATCTAGAATAAAACCTAGATATTTCATCTTGTTTCCTGTGTTTATTGTTTGGCCTTGCACCCTTAGCTTTGTTTTTATGCCGTCAGACTGCCTTTTCGTAAGTATGAGGCTTTCTGTCTTATTCGGATTGATTTTAATTTTATTATCATCCAGATAGGGTACTAACGTTCTGTTTATATGGATGTCCAGCCTTCTTAGCGCAATTTCGGCGGAATGTGAGGATTTATAAATACATGTGTCGTCGGCGTAAAGGGCCGTCTGTAAGCCATTTTGACCCATTGGCATATCATGGGTCATAATGGTGTACAGGTGAGGCGCCAATACTGAGCCCTGTGGTACTCCCGCCTGTGCAGTGTATGGTCCGTTTAATGTTGTGTTGAATTTAATGTTGAATTTTCTGTCTTTTAAGTAGTCTTGAATTGTTTTTACAATGAAAACAGGGTAGTCATTCTCAAACATTTTGTAGATTAATCCATCGGTCCAGACCGTATCGAAAGCTTTCGCAGCATCCAGCGCTACTAGGACCGTTTGTAGTTTTTTATTATAAGCTTTTTTAGCATCATGAGCTATTCTAATAATTTGCGCTACGGTGCTGTGTCCAGCTCGAAATCCGTACTGTTCCGATGGAATAATCTCTTTGTCAAGTTCGTAAGTTTCAAGTCGTGTTAAGATAATGCGATCGACTATCTTAGCTAGTCCACTAAGTAGTGAAATGGGGCGGTAGCTTTCAACTTGCCCCTTAGATTTCCCACTTTTATAAATCGGTATAATATTTGCTGTTTTTAGAGCTACTGGATAGTATTGCTTTCTTAGAATTTCATTAATTATGTAGTGTAATTGCACTATAGTTTTTTTCGACAAGTTTTTAAGTAAGATATTGGTAATGCCATCGGGTCCCGGAGCTCTCCTCTTCGGTGATCTCCTAATCGCGTCCGCTACCTCCTTAGGGGTGGTAAGCATACCGATCGGAATTTCCTGTACCCTCATTTCCCTTATTTCTTTGCATGTATTCTCAATTTCGCTTTGTTTCGCGTTGTTTACTTGTGTATTTTTAAAATTCTCTTGAAAATATTCACCAAATGCTACCCCTTTCTGGTCATCCGTCAAGCACACTTTGTCTTTGTACCTCAGTGTGGGAATTTCCGAGTGCGGTTTTTTAAACCTTCTCACAAACTTCCACACCGAGTTGTCACGTATGTTTACCGCTTCCAAGGTTTCTTTCCATTTGTCGTTTTTAATTTTTTGAATTTCCCAGTTTATAGTTTTCCCTATATCAAGTAGTCTGTCCTTGTCAGCGGCTTGTCTGTGTGTTTGCCATCGTTTTCGTATGTTATTTTTGTTTTTAATTAAGTCCTGTATGTCTTGTGGTAATTCGTCTCTGTATTGTTTGTAGTTTTTTAGTGTGGTTGTTCTGTTCCTAGCTGTTATGATGGCGTCCGTAAGTATTTGTAATTCTTCCTCTATACTTTCATTATTAGTGAGGTTTTTTTTTATTGTTATGTGCTCGTCAAGTATCGTCCTAAAGTTTTTCCAATTAGTCGTTGTATAGTCATAAAATTGACCCTGTATTCTTGGTATCACTCTTGTGTTCGAGATCTCCAGGTATACAGGGTCGTGGTCAGATGTAAGTGTGGTTATTGTCCTGACATTGTCTACGTTTGGTATGTCTTTTGTTACTGCAATGTCAAGTGTACTTGGCGTACCACCATTAAAGGGGAAGTAAGTTGGTTCCTCCGAGTAATGGATAATTAGATCATTATTATCTGCATATTTTTCTAAGTTTCTACCACTTGTGTTTGATTTTAAACAATTAGAATCCCAGCTGGGATGTTTGCAATTGAGATCCCCGAAAAGCATTACTCTTTTTCCCGATGACATTATCGTGTATATTTCATTTTGCGTTAGTATATTATCTGGTGAGTTATAGGCACCTACAAAAGTTAAATTCCCTACTTTAATTACTATGTGCTCTGCTTTTATGTTAAGATTAGGTAATTGTACATATTCATATTTATTTTTGATTGCGAAAGCTACCCCCCCCATGATTGATTTGGTCTGTCCTGTCTAATGACATCATACTCTTGTAATTTGAATTTGTCAGTTGGTTTGTAGTGTGTCTCAGTGATGAGCATGATGTCAAATTGATGTTTGAGAACGAAACTGCGAACAATTTGAGTCTTGTTACGCATCCCATTTGCATTGAAAAAACATATTTTGAGTTTGTCTTTGTTATTTCCAAGTTCCTTAGTTTCTGAGATTGAAGTTAGTGTCTATGTTGGAAAAAAAATTGTTATATGTGTCAAAAAGTTCTCTACCGTTCTTACACTGTCTTACAAGGGAGGTAAGTTCCCTTACCGCTCTAACAAGCTCACCTATATTGATTAAACTATTGAGTTCTGCATATGCTTCATTCAGGGCTGTGAGATCGTCCATGGCCACGTTAATTTGTCCTTTTGCGGTATTATTGTTTGGTTTGGGTACATTTACCCTCTGCGTTGACCTCTGTTCTTTGTTCGGCAGTGCAGGAAAATCTTCACGTTTAGTACTTTGCCTTCTGCCTTCCCATTGGTTATGTGCTGGTAAAGGGGCGGGTACATATTTCTTCGGCTGTGGCCTATGGCTACGCTTCTCTTCAAGTCTATCTAGACGTTCGATGTAGCTACTACACTTAGTGTAATTTGCAGGGTGATCACCTCCACAATTCACACAGATTGCAGGCGTTTCTCGGGTTTTAGTGCATATCCGTGTATGGTGATCACCCGCACACTTGACACATTTAGAGGGTTTCCCACAATTTGCCGTCGCATGCCCCCATTGTTGGCAATTGTGACACTGGATTATTTGCTTCACCGATTTTCTCAGCTCCCATATAACTCTGGTGTATAGCACCCTTCGAGCGTTTTTATTTAAATAATCCAGTGTCAACGATGCATCGGTGACAACCAGGAACAATGGTCGATTTTTCGTGTTCATTTTATAGATTGATTTGGCTTTAATATCGTATTCCTCTATTAGGTCTTCTTCTATATCGGCAGTCTTAGTGCCCTCGGCTAGCCCACGTAATACAAACGCGTGTGATTTTTCTTCATTGCTGGTGTATGTGTGGTATGGTACATTATCTGCTTTGATGTTATTCAGCATTTTATGATAGTCGTCTTTTTCTTCAACGAAGAGTATTGTGGATGCATTCGTGTGTTTTATGCTGAATTTTCCTTTTATGGTTTCTTTAATGTCCTTGATTAAACCCGCTTGATTAGCCGTTTTTCCGTCTATAACAATCGGTGGCATGTTGTTTTTTGTTTTTGGAGTGTTGCTTGCGTTCTCACTTTTTTTGTTTATATTTCTGTTTATATTTTGAGTGTTAGTCGTTTGTGCAGCGGCTTTCGCACTGTTACTGTTGTCTGCGGGGATGTTTTTTTCACTGGTTTTTGTGTCCCTTTTTTCTGTTTTTCGTTTTCTCTTAACTATTCTGCCAATATCGTCATCAAACTCCGAGTCAGAGTCCTCGGTTAGTACATGATACCTATTTTTTGTTTGTGTCATGGTCTTTTTAGATTTTTCCCTGATTAATTGTTCAAAATTATGAAGGGGGTTGTATCTTGCACATCTAGATTTGTTTCCATCTTATTTTCACTCGTTCTTCTTAAAGGCCTAACAAACGTACTGTTAGGGGAAGTTGGAAGGAATTCATGTGTGCTCGATGTTCTTTTATCATCTTCGGAAGTGATATCGCTTGATTTGTAGCCCAGTATTGCGTCCTGCACTACTTTTGGGATGTCTGCTGTTTTGACGTGAATTTGTACGTCATTATTTGATGGGAGCTGCGTATAAATCTCTTTATTTGGTCCTGGGATAGGGGTTTGGGTCTTAGGTTGCCCTATGTTGTATGGATGAGAGTCAAATTTGAAGCTACTCAATTCACCTCTTTTTTGAGCTTTCTCCATACTTTTTGTATCTGTTTTCTTTATTTTTGGTTTGTGTATTTGCCGGTAGACTGATCCTTTTGATTACCATTTTTGTAGGGTGATTCTGTTCCGTCATGTATTCGGATTGGAAGGGTTGTCTATTTGGCGTTTGGCCTGTTGCATTGTCCTGATTGGAGTTTACTGCGGACGACTCGTTGTTAACATCCCCTTCCTGGGGCTTATCATTGTTTTGTGTTGGGGGTGTCTGAGCATTATCCACCGCATCCATGTACTCTTCCGATTTATCATCGCTGGCGGTACGGTTCAAGTTTGGATGTCTGTTTTCGTTATTATCAAGGCTCTCAATACTGCTTTGTATTTTTTCCTTGATTTTTTGGAGATTTTCTAAACTGTTTTGGGAGTTCTCCATGCTTTCCTGTGACTTCTCCTCACTTTTTTGGGCAGAACTGTTTTTATCCTGGGAGGTTTTGGATTCCTGGACAATTACGTTCGAATGTGTAATTATTCCAGGGTCAGTATTAAGTTCTGGGGGTTTGTCATTTTCGTCATTTTTGCTTTCGCCTTCTGTCGTGGCATTTTTGATAGTTACATCCATGCTCTCATCTGAGCTAGGGGAGCCTTGTAGGTCACCATACACTTCTTCGAGAAGTGTTTGAGGGTCGTGTGAAGGTCGAGTCGGCAAAAATTTTGCCAGGGGTTCTCCCTGTTTTGGGCAGATGACCCCTGGGTTAGTTTGAGTAGTGGTTAGAGCCCAAATAGTGTTTTTACTCACGGTTACTGGAGATTTAAGTTTAGTCTTGGCTTTTAGTCTTTCCGGCGTTTGAACTTTAGCTATGTTTCTTAGCTCTTCAGTCTGTTTCCATCGATTTCTTTGCCTTTTCGAATATATTGTGGGATATTCTTTAATTTGTGGTTTGTTCGCCCCTGAGGGCTCACCCATGGAGGTGTGGTTCCCCTTGTTTTGGGGTGTTTAATACTTTCCTGGCTTACTCGAACAATATACTAATATAAATTTAATTGGTTTGAGGTTAATAACCTGGTGTCACGAATCCGAACTACGAGGAGCGTTGTAAAAATTCGTAGACCTTCCTTTGTCAAGTCCAAAGGTAAACTGCCACGAGATTTTCGCACCGAGCTGTGACGTCACCGTGCAGTCGTCCGTCCGACCAAAGTTGCTAACTAGTCGACGTTGTAATTTGTGTATTCAGTGGGGTTTACGCTGCTATGGAGGATGTATGTCTATCGTTTTGAATTTAATTTTGATCCTGTGTGTAAATTGATAGTGCCTTATGCAGGCATCCATGGATTCTGTGAATACCATCCCCCTGATGAATAGAGGTGATGTGATTTTTAAGTTCTGGGGGTAAACATTTGTCGTAAAAGCCCTCTGCTAATCTCATGACATGATCTTTCACTGTTTCCATGGATGCTTGCGCATGCATATCAATTATTCTAGCGTAACGGTCACACCCTAAAGCCAGCCGCAGACACTTGTTTTGAAAAATTTGAAGCTTTTTATAATGGATGTTCGCCATTGAGCAGTAGACTGGACATCCATATAACAGTATTGGCCGTAGTACCTGTTTATAAAGTAGTACTTTATTTTCCGATGTCACACCGCTTCTTCGATGTAGCATCGGGTATAAAGTTTTTAGCGCTCCGGTAGCTTTGGCAATTCTTTCCTCTATGTGGTTTTTGAAAGTTAACCTCCGGTCCAGCATAAAACCTAAGTACCTCATGGAGTTTTTTGTTTCTATTTGTTGATTTTGCACTTTAAGTTTTGTAATAATTCTGTCCCTTGTTTTGTGTGACAAAACCATACTTTCGGTTTTAGTCACATTTATTTTGATTTTATTTGCGTTGAAATAAGGTACTAGCGTTCTGTTTACGTGGATGTCCAGTCTCCTGGTCGCGATCTCAGCTGTATGTGACATTTTATACACGCAAGTGTCGTCGGCGTACAGGGCCGTCTGTATACCATTTTGTCCCATGGGAAAATCATGAGTCATGATGGTATACAGATGCGGCGCCAGTACCGAACCTTGGGGTACTCCCGCCATCGCTGTGTATGGTCCACTACGCGAATTGTGAATTTTAACGTAGAATTTACGGTCCTGTAGGTATGTTTGAATTGTTTTTACAATGAAAACAGGGTAATCATTCATAAACATTTTGTGTATTAAGCCGTCGGTCCAGACGGTGTCAAACGCCTTTGCAGCATCGATTGCAACTAATACGGTTTGTTGATTTTGATTATATGCATCTTTTGCATGTTGTACAATTCGTATTATTTGTGCAATCGTGCTGTGGCCGGCTTTGAAACCGTACTGTTCCGCCGGAATAATTGTGGTGTCTTGTTCGTAAGTGTGTAGCCTCGTGAGCAGCACACGATCTGTAATTTTGGCTAAGCTGTTTAGAAGAGATATAGGGCGGTAGCCTTCTATATCAGATCTGCTCTTACCTTTTTTGTGTATCGGGACCACATTTGCAACTTTAAATGCGTCCGGATACCACTGGAGTTTAATTATAGCGTTGATTATGTAGTGTAAGTGTACGCAAATTTTTTTTGATAAGTTTTTTAACAATATATTTTGGATATTATCAGGTCCTGGAGCCCTTTTACTGGGTGTCTTTTTGATGATGCTGATAATTTCTTTAGGTGTGGTAAGTGAATTTGTGGGAACTATTTGTACTGGCATTTGCCTTATGTCATTAACTATGTTCGTTATTTCAGTTTGCTCTAGATTATTGATTTGTTCATTGATAAAATTATTTTGGAAGAATTCGCCGAAAGCCGTGCATTTTTGTACGTCTGTCGAGTATGAGTTGTTATTGTGTTTCAGTGTGGGAAGCTGCGAGAACGGTTTTCTGTACCGCCTCACAATTTTCCACACTGAGTTGTCTTTTATGTTAATCGCCTCCAGGGTCTTGCGCCATTTTAGGTTCCTAAAATTATTGATTTCTTTATTTATGGCTTTTCCTAACTCCTGGAACATGACCCTGTCGGCGGCTTGTCGGTGCGTCTGCCAACGTCTACGTATGTAGTTCTTGTTTGTAATGAGGTCGAGAATCTCTTGAGGAAGATCATCCTTTAGTGGCTTCAATGTAATTAGTTTTGTAGAACTGTTTCTGGCATTTATGATTACTTCTGTAAGATGCTTAATTTCTTCCTCAAGAGATTGCCTATCTGTAATGTTATTGTTAATGTCAATGTTTTCGTCCAGTGTTTTTCTGTATTTCGTCCAGTCTGTTGTTTTGTAGTCGTAATAACGACCCTGTATCCTTGGTATCAGGCGTGTAGTCCTTATCTCCAAGTATACAGGATCGTGATCCGAAGTGAGTGTTTTGATTGTCCTTGTATTCTCCACGTTCGGTACATTTTTGGCAGCCGCGATGTCAATTGTGGAGGGGGTGTATCTTGGGGTGGAAGGGAAGTGGGTGGGGTCTTCGGGATAATGTATAATGATATCGTTGGTTTCGGCGAATTCATCCAAATTTTTCCCGTTTTTATTTGGGCGCTGGCAGTTCGAATCCCAGTGGGGATGTTTGCAGTTAAGATCACCCAGTAGAAGGACTCTATTTCCTGATGACATGATAGTATTTATCATATTTTTTGTGAAAGCACTATCTGGTGGATTATATAGCCCGACAAAGTTGATATTTGCTATTTTTATTATTAAATGTTCTTGCGGTATGTTTAAATTTGCTAGATGTTCATAGGTAATTTCAGATCTAATACAAAAAGCCACACCACCCCATGACTGTTCCGGTCTGTCATGTCTGATGATGTCGTACCCGTGTATTTTAATTCTGTCTGATTGTTTGTAATGTGTTTCGGTAATAAGTACGATGTCGAATTTATGTTTATGAATGAAGTTACGAACAAGTGATGTTCTTGTTCGCATCCCATTTGCATTATAGAAACAAATTTTGAGTTTTTGTTTGTCCCTTGAATTGAATTCAGTTCCTAATATTGAATGTGTTGTCTACGTTACTCATGAACGCGTTATATGTTTCAATGATTTGTTGACCCGAGTTGCAATTTTTGAGTTTGGCGTTCAGTGCTCTGATCGCCCTTGTAAGTTCACCAATATTGACTAACCTGTTTAAAATATTTAATTCATGATTGAGTGCGGAGAAGTCATCCATTTGGGTGTTCTGCGGTATATTTCTTTCTGTTGAGTTCTTCTTAGCTTCGTTTTCTTCGATATACCGAGTGGGCGGGGCGGATCAGTTTCTTTGTATTTTCTATTACAACTTCTAAGGACCAGTCTGGATGCAATTGCCGTATTAAACATATTGTGTATTGTTCAATGTCGATTACAGAATCACTATCTTCAAAAGCTTTGATAATAAAATCCATTTCGAAATAACTCACAATAGAATGTCACAGTATTAGATATAAAACTGTTATGCGTTTCAACAAATTTGGAATGAGATTTTATAGGTGCCAAAGCAATTAAGAATAAATTAGGATAACCAAAATAACGAGCGATAATCGATTTATTTAAAATACAATTAAAGGATTATCTACCCCTATCCCGGACGTAGTCTGCAGCTAATAAACAACTTAATCTCAGTTTTCTAAGAATTTATCTACTTCTTACCACTATAATCCTTTTAAATATGTAAAAAATTAAGACATTTTAAGCTAATGTAAAAACATTCAGATTTTAGGTATAACTAGCAGATACAATTTGAGATGGTTCAAATAAAAAATATATTATATAATTTTGCATTTTAATCAATAAGCAATCTTTAATTTTAAATTGAAATTTTAGTTACCTTTATTTTGTAGACCGGGAGATTTTTATAGTGTCTTTTTGATTAGGATGATATCAAATAATATTTAAATTTAATATTAGATCCTACACGCATTTCTTTAAAATTTATAACTTTACAGTTTGAATTGAAAAAAAATCCTACCTTACTTTACTTTAATCTCTGATTAGTGAATATTATGTTTTTTTTATATCAGTTAAATATAAAACCTTTTATATTAAATAGAATATTTTAAGGTGAAAGGTGAGAAAAAGTCCTTTATATCTCACAAGGAAAGTCAATGTTTAATTGTTTAACAAAACATTGAGTGCGACCGGTTTCGAAGTGTCATCACTTCATCTTCAGGCTCGCCTAGTGGAAAGGAGAATATGTGGTGTAAGGTGTGTTAACTTGGAAACAAAACGATATATAAAATAATAAAAAAGAGAAAACTCACCATACTCTCCATCCACTAGGGAATACTACAAAAACAAGTTTCATCAATTTTGGGTTGAAATAAATTGTAAAATGAACCGATTTACACGTAATAAAAAGTTAAAAATATTTGAAAAAACAAATATTAGTCAATTATAGTAAAAATTTAAAATATTCAAGACTATACAAAAACAAATCACATACATTAAACAGATTAAAAGATAAGGCCTATTTTAAACATTGTTGTTTTTTTAAAAAACTAACATTTTTTGAAAGGAGACCTGTCAAGTGAAAGCCTCTACAGGTGGTGGTAAGTATTATAACGAAAAAATTCTTGGGTAAACTTATGACAGGGTATAGTTAATAAGATGTAAACTATGAGTGAAGAATTATTTATTA